AATGAGGAACATATTTTATGCATTCAACAGAAATGATAGTGCAGCCAATGAAAATTGCACCTTGTTTTTTTTGCATGAACTTCTGCAAGTTCATCAACACGGCAAAGTGCCTTCCACTTTGCTTCAGTCATGTGAATGATTGTACCCATGATGTACAAATCTGCTGCATTAACATCATCTAATGTTTTTGCTTTTAGCTTGTAATTTATTGATTACTTTAATACATGTTAAGGAATGACATGGGTGTAGATTATCCAGTGTTTGTCAGGTTTAGGTGGTCAAATGGCACCTTTTTATTCTTAATTAGCTGTGATTTCCAGTCACAGTATGATTACTGCATGTTGTTCAGGCTATAAATTGAAAGATACCTAAGGATAAGAGTACCTGTTTCCAGTTGTATACTGGTATTTTGATTGCTGCTGGAGAAAATGAACTGAAATGCATTTGTAATCCAAAGCTGTAACTCCACATATGGAAACTGAATTTCTGTGAATCTTCATTAAGGTGTCTACGTTTAGTGTCTTTTGATGGATTTAAATACAGTGTAAATATCTGCCTCTTTGCTGGTTGTCTGTGTATTCTCAGTCACTTCATATATGGCTTATTCTTCCTTTCTGGCATGTTGCGTCTTTAATGTAAAAAGATGCTCTTATGGCTTTTGCAGAGTTTTCTATGGGCTGAGCGTTTTTTTCTTCTTTTTTTTTGGAGCTTTTCTTCTTGTTTTGAAGGTTATGCTGCTTATGTCTGTAGATATATAAGATCTCTATTCTTGAGTCTGTCCTTCTTAAGTTGTTTTGGTTGAATCTGGATATTTATTCTTCACTAATGGATGTCACTATTTTATTCCTTCCTCTGGATACATCCTGTTGAGCTCCTCTTTCTATTTGACAGCATTTTGGGCTTACATTTTGGCAATGGTAGCAGGCAGAAAGTGTCCTCTAAAGCTAAATTGTGAGAACTCTTCACAAAAGTGTTATAGATCCAGCTGGCATCTAAGTCTGTGCAAACAGGTTGGCTTCCTCTTCCAAACACTTTTCTGCTTTAGCCTCTGCTCCATCTATGCAGCTTGCTATAAATAGATCTCTTTAGTAAAGAATGCTTTGTACTCAACTTTCAGATGCTTTATTGCAGAGAAGTGCAGTTGGTACAGCTGTCAATCCTTGTTTTTTCATCATGCTAGCTCTAATACATCAGTAAGTGCTTTCAAAATTAGGCTCAAGCTTTATAATGGACACTGGAAGAGCCAGAGACATGGCACAGAGTGGAAATGCTTCTAGGAGTTAGATATGAGAAGAAAATGGGAAGCAGCATATTGTAGCAAGAAGATTTTATGCTTTGACTTCTGATTTCTTTTTGATTACAGTGAAGCATGGTAATGCAGTCTGTAGGTGCCTGATACATTGACCATACTGGTCAGATTCTCATATGGGGGGGAGGGACAAGGTAGAGAAATAATACATTTTTGGAAGCATATGCTACCAAAAGCATATGCATCCAAGTTTTTTGAGGAGTCAAAGAGGACCTAGAATTTCCATCCAACTGTGGAAAGAATGGCTGTTTCCCATCAAGAAAAGGTGGAGGTCTTCAATATGTTTCCCTTTGCAAAGAAGCATCACTTTGGTCTTGTCTGGATTCAGTTTGATCCATCTGTTCTTCATTTAAGAGCTAATTTCCTGTAGTTATTCTGATGTTTTATAGTGATGATAGTTGCATCAGAAAATGAGATAAATAGTAGATTGTCAGCAACATACTGTTAGCAATTGAACACATGCCATATCACTCTCTCTCTCAGCAGTCTCATGTAGATAGATGTAGATTGTATGGATCCCTGTGGGATCCTGAAGGTGAGGACCTTGGAGGAAGAAGCTCATATCCACCACTTTTTTTTTTACATTTACATGTAGAACACAAGATGCAGTACTACTGTATTTCTGGGACTGTGTAATAGAGGATTCAGGTGTCTGGAAACAGGAATCTGGAGATTACAGTTCCACGGTTGGCGAAAGTTTTATAAATTCCTCCAGGAAGTTGTCAGAATTTCCATCTGTAGCTTGTGTACCACTAGGAGCCCTGGTTCCTCTAGTCCTTTGCCTCACAGTGCATATGGATATACTCAAATGTTTTCATTTCTTGGTGAAACATCTTCTTTATCTGACATTGAGACCACAGGACCCTTTCTCCATATTTTCTTTGCCTTTTTTTTTTTTTAACTTCTGGTATTTGTCTTGGCCTGTTACTATTGGTGTTGTGGTGTCTATCTTGGATCTTCTGAAGGGTAGTTGTGCTAGGATAGGGTTGAGATAATATTGAATCATGACTCAGTGATGCAAAAAAGTCCAGGTGTTTCATCTGGAAGGACAGCACAGATATGTTCTTTTTCTAAGGAGAAACTTTGGCAATAAGAACCTCAGACAGTTTTCTTCTTATAATTTGTTTAATGTTGTTACCATCTAAACAATTGGCTGCAAATACCAGCTTGTGGTGTTTATTCTAATGTGTGGTGTGAGAAGGTGAATCCTCACCAAGGACTTAGAAAAGTACACATGCATGGTTTGGGCATACAAGGTTTTGGGCAGCCTGGTTTGCCTGGGGTTTTTTTAGGTTCCCATGACCTAGAAGCATTGTACAGCGTAGTCTCTATGATTTGAATGCCTGGCCCTTACAGAGATCATAACAGCAGGCAAGTAGTGTTGGAGTGATGGTCTGTGGTCTGAATACTGGTGTGGTGTTTTGTCCAATTTTTAAAAAAATCTTCCACTGACATAAGAAAACAGCAGACTGTTACAGGGTGGCATACACCAGAGATGGAGAGAACTATGGGATCTCCAGTAAAAAGGAAGGCAAAAGGGTTGGTAGGTTCAAAAATGAAACAGGACCTCCTCATATCCCTAAGACTGTGAATGACTTACCTACTTAGTTTTGACTAATTTTAATTTCCGTAGGCAATTATTTCTGCATCTGACACTGAGACCACAGACCCTTCCTTTTCTTATAATCAAATAGTCAGGGTGAGACTGATAGTTTTTTCAGTACTATTGGTAATATCTCATGCTACTGTAGTAGTTAAATATGAAAATTAATTGACACCCTTTGTTTCTGATGTTTTGCATGACATAAAGATAATTTGGTAGGGCTCAATTTTGGAGGCAGATGGTTTGCGTGTCAAGACAAGGTGTCTGGATGGATATTCCTAGGGTAACCATGGGAAAGATTAACGTTTTCAAAATATGTGGATGAGCCTTACCTGTCACATAGGCCAAAGCAAATTTTTACATTCAGATGCTTTCACTGCAGGCAGGATATTTGAAAGGCAAATATTATAGAAGAGGCCTATGTTTATTAAAGCCAAAATTTGAAGAAATGGCCTCATTAAGAAGTAATTTTGCATTAGAAAACATTAATTAAACTTGGCCAGTCTCTGCTATGGACTGGAGAGTGTAGTCAGCACAGTTCTAATGTCAACGATTCATTCTCATGTGTTATATATACATGGATACATATACATGCTCTGCATTGCCAAAAAACCTAAGCCTTTTCAACCAACAAGTTTGTATCAGGTTCAAAAAAAGTTTAGTGTAGAACTGGCATGAATTAATTTGTCTGTTTTGCAGATTTACCTGTGGCTGTTCAAAGGTTTATCCCATTATTTCGCTTATATTTGTGATTTATCATTTACCTGTCTGCTCCTGACTTTTATCTGAAAGCATTTCAGTGTACTAAACTGTGATATGCTCAGGTGGTGCAGCTCCTTTCTAAAAAGACGTTAGACTGTCACAGCTTACATTGATATATGTGTGATTATAGAGCAAGATATTGTTGCTAAAGCTGGGCGAACAATTTATTATTAATATAATTCATTAAGGATGAGTCTTTAGGTATAGATGGAATATGGGGTAATTTGTGAATGAGTGTGTTGCCTCCTTGACTGCATAAGAGAAGCATTATTCTTCCCTTGTTCTCCCACTTCTCTGCTGATTAACACAAAAGAAGAGAAAAGCCATGAATCCTCCCTCTTTTCCTCCAGGTAGGTAGGACAGGAAGAAACTCTTGCTTTGCTCTCTTTTAATAAATCATTGTCAGAATAGGTTCCGTATGACTACATGAAAGCTGGAGAGCTCACTTCATACTCCCCTGGGTATCAGCAGACGTGCAGATGTGTGCAGAGGGGTGCAGTCCAATGCATATGCCCTCGTTATGCTTAGTGAGACATAGTGAGCAACGCCAGTTTTCTTTACTTTTATGTATTCATTAGAAAGTTTGAAGAAACTAATGCTGAGCTTCACAAACTGCCATTATATCTAGCTCTCCATAGAAAACCTCTAGTATTTTGTGAGTGGGGGAAAGACCATTTAAATAATAAGTTTTGTATTTATTTAGCTGTTTTCTATGATTGGTAAACTCATTCAGTATAAGAAATTTCAAACAATGGAATAAACACTCACAAGACTTATAGAAGAAGAAAAATTCAAAAATTTGCATCAATTGCCTGAAACCTTGTAAACAATGAAAAATATAACTTTAAAGATGAAGTGTTTTCCATTAAAAAAAAATAATTGTCTAATTTATTTAGTTATCTATGTAGACTGTTATGTGCAACCCCACACATACATGAACACACACACGTACATAAGTGGTAAGTTTGTACAGTTAAAAAAATTTTGAGGTAAATGTATCCTACTTACTGCTTAGCTATGTGACCAATGCAGAACTTTAATATTAATCTCAGAAATTTCCATACCATTGTTTTTTATTACTGAAGAAAGTAGATCAGGATGATAACAGTTGAATGCAAAAAGCAATCATATTTTCAGTCTAAAAATAGTCATTGTTTAGTAAGCTATGCTACATAAACGTATTAGGGGGATGTACTGACTTGCCCTGCATGGTTTTATTCTTTTTCCTTAAAAATATCTTTTGTTTCCACCCCCCACTAAGAAGAAAGGAATGTTTCCTATTAAGATATGAAGTGAGTTTGTTTTTCACTTTTTCCTTTTATATAGGGATACTGAATATAAAGGACTACAGCTCTCCCTGGATCAGGTCACTGCTACCAAGCCGGCATTCTCATATGCAAATTCAACTCCGACCATAACGGATAATAGAAAGGGAAGCAAATCTCGCCTCTCGAGCACAAAGTCAAAATCAAGGACATCACCATACCCACAGGTAGTTGTCTTTGAAAAACAAAATTAAATTTTTTTTAATATCTTGATTTTGACTGCTATTTTACCCAAGTAATTAGAAGAGGTCAAAGAGCTCAAAGGGAATCAAGGCCAACAGGTTTTGAGATCTTGAGAAAGGAATATGTTGCTTTAAACTGTTTCTAAAAAGCTGGAAACATTTAAGTCTCAGCATGCATAATAAATCATCATCAACAACAATAACAGCACAGGGCTCAGAGTTAATGAGGAGCGGACAGAAGGACAAGTGAAAAAGTTGGTTTTGAAATACTTGGTTTGAGAGGATTGTGAGTTTTGCCATTCGAGAAAGCTTGCTTTTTCTTACTTACTCTTTAATAATGCCAACATATCTAGAAAGCTGCCAGATGTTTGACGGCAGTTATTTTAGTCAGAAGGAGTGAGTTTTGGTGAGGGAAAGCAACAAGCTAACTTGCTGAACTGGAAGAAGAAAGCTTTTCTATGTACAAAGCTTTGAAAGGGAGAAAGCACTAGAAAGTGGCCGTTGACATCAATAGTCTTTAATTTCCCAGCTTTCATTTCCAGGCCTAATGTGTAAGGAGCATAACTCTGCATGGAGAATGGACCAGACTTGATTTGGTGTCTGAACTGGAGTTTACCTAATATATTTATGCAACTGATTTCTGCAGACAATGCCACAGCACTTGCATACTTACATTGTCAACCATTTAAATCAAATAAATAGTTTGTCAAAATAACCATTATGTTTCCTAAATAATGTTGTAAATCTTACTACCCTTATGCCACCACACGGTGGGTATAAATGTATGTATTTATGATGTAACTTTGAAGAGCTATATATTTTTAAAGAGTCTAGCTCAATATTTAACTGATAATGACCTTGATAACTACAGTTTCTCTGCAGGCAAAATGGTTTCTAAACTGACCTCTAAGAGTATAGAATATGAGCCCAAGTGTCTACATCACTTCCTCGTTTTCTTTCTTTTTCCCTTCAAAAGTACCACGGGTGAGAATTTCAGTTAAATGAAATTTTATTTTGGCTCAGGGAATATTTAACCAAGCACTTAGATATGAACTCAGATTCTTAATTTTAAGAATTTAACTTTGCCAGAGGTTGATATGGCTCTTGCCATTTAATCATTTGTTCATTTCTGTGGGTTGTTGAAGAGTCTTTCTCTTGAATGTGCTACACCAAACAATTGTAATAAAACTGTTTTAAAGAATCAGGAAAGACCTACAATTAATTTTAAATTAGATTTCTAAGATGACCATCCTTGTTTTACTGAAATCACTCTTCATGTCCTCTTACACAGCCCTTTCAGAAGTCCTCATCTGCTAGCAGGACAATCCCAACTGAAGACATGTTATCCTCCCTCATCAATTCACTTTCTGAAAGTGTGATTTTCATGAGCACCTCCTTACTCTCTCTGTCACCAGAAAAAATCCTGAACTAGCAATGCAGCATTGAGACTGTTGGTTTATCAGGGATCGTTGTCTGAAAGCTCAGGGTGTTTAGTCTGCAGTTTCCTTTTGCATCCTCATTACTGGCTGCCTGGTAGTGAAGTCACAGATTTCATAATTCAAAAAGAAGCAGGCGTGCTAGTTGCCAATATCTTGAAAAATGGTCATACCATTCATTGTAGCACATCACCACAAGCAATGCTGGCAGCTTGGCTTTGTATCCCTCTCATCCTTCTCCATCACTGAATAAACTGTTGAAAGACTAAGAAAAGCTGTTGTGAAGAACATACAGCAGGTGGTATGGCCTGTGTCCCTCAGTCTCCATCCCACATAATTTGCCAGTCAGTTGTGGAGAATTAGAGTGCAACTCAAAAGCCATGGCTGAAAAGTGAGGTCATGGTTTGGCTTACAAAGGAGCCTGGGTTTTGGTGGAGGAAGGAAGAAGGAAGTTTATTAGTAAAATAATGTAAGTGAGCACAAAATATTTCTTAAAGTTAGGGGTACCTAGGAGATTTTAAATGTACATACTTTCTTTCCTTTTTTTTTTTTTTTTCCTTACCACTTACTTTATTTTACTCGAAGGGAAAAGGGAATCATATGCTTTACTGAGTGACAACTGAGAATCCTCTCCCTTGCCAGCTGTGTGTCCCTAGGATAGCTACATGAGATGTAAACTGTATGAAAACCACGTTAATAAATTTCAGCTGAATATTTACTACTAGGGCAAAAGGTGGATGTTGTGGTCACCTAAGACAGGGTTAATTTTTTTTTTTTCCTTAAATCTTATGCAAAAGCAGGCATAGTGTAATATGATGCTGGTAGAGTCTTTAAGCAAAAAGTGAGTTCATCAAATTGGAAGCATTGGTCAGACTCTGATTAACACTGACTGACTTTAGTAGCATGGGCTAGTGAGTTCTGTGAAACCAGTCCCAGGCAGGACAAAGGCAAACAGAGAGGAGAGTAACCCAAAATTCATGACACAGCTGTAGGATTTTCCCAGACACTTTGAACAGTGCTCTTCTAGTCCTGTCCTACCGGAGAGCTGGAGAGCTGAAAGAGGAGGTGAAAAGAACAGAAGAGATGAAGACTTGATAGAGATTTGCAGGAAAAGGAAATTGTGAGTTGGTTAAAAGATGCCTGTAGTCTTCCCTCATAATAATAATCATTGTGAGTGGTTCCCAAAATCTAGCCCTGGACCTCATTTATTCTGTACGCAGGAAATAGGAAGAATACTGGAAAAACATTTTAACTGTGATCATCTGAACAACTGCTCTGGAGTTTAATCTCCCATTAATGATGATTGTTTAAAGAAAGTATTTAAAATTGTCTATTGTCTGCCTCTAATGGAAACATTTTATGGTCAGATCTGGATAAATGTTTATTTCTTCATGTCTCATGTTAGTTCTTGGATGAAGATATTTTTAATATACATATATATGTAGAACAAACACAAGCATATACCCAAGAGCTGTTGGATGGAGGCTTTGGTATGTGTTACAGCATGCATGAATTTTTGGAAGTAAAAGCCTTCTCTAGTATGTGTATGTTAATACACCTGATTTTGGAGGTAAACTGATTTTATAGCTGTTTAAACAGATAATCTGGATTAATTTTGCAATCTATCTCTATTTGGGCATATCGCCCAATGGGTAAAGATAACAGAATCAAGCTGAATTCTAGTCAGCCTTTTTTTGTTGTTGTTTTATTCATTTCTTCCTGTAGCCTAAAGCTTTGGCAACTTCCAGTGTATTCAAAAGCAAAGCAAACCCCGCTTTTTATAGTAAACATAACTCCTGATCTGGTGAAGAGTCACCAGCAGTGGGGGTTATTTTAATGGACATGCTGTATTACTTTAATCTAAGCCTTTCACCATCTGTTCTGCCTATAATAGTGAATGCAAAAAGAACATATTTTACATTTCAGGATTACATTAGTAAAAAGCAAGATAAAAGTGATTTAAAAGCATGCATATGTTCTTAGTACAATGCAGCCTGCATCTGTGATGTTTTTTCTCATGGTTAAGACACAAATCAAGAGGAAAGCTGCTAATGTTGATGTAGTGAAAGTTTTTCATGGAAAAGAGGACTCTGAGAGGGTTTCACTATATATTTAATGTTTATAATGATGAAAACCTGAGTAGGCTGCCAGAAAATTAGATATCTATGACATCTATTGTTTGAACATCTGACACAGTGTGTGGAGCAGGCACACACCTGTAGGAGTGGGAGGTCAGGCAAAAGAAAATCACCCGAGACATATCATCTAATGGCCTAATACACTTCCATGGGCTTTCATAAAGCAAGCTTTTCTTAGACATGGAATTATTATTTTCTTATTTCCTTCCCTCTTCAGCCCTCCTGAAGTTTTTCTTGGAATGAATATAGCATCAGTGATGGCCTATAGCCCCTTTCTATGTCAGTGCTAATCCGTCTGGTGTGCTCTCACTGCAATGGTACACTGGATTAGCACTCTGGAAGACATTTCTAGTACCCAGAGGTGGCAATTCAGTTTCTAAAGAACCAGCTGGAGAACCATTTGGTTTATTTATTGTTGTTGTTTATGCCAGAAGGCAATTCAGAAATCACCTAAGGGGATTTCACATGTTGCCTGTCTGAAGTTCTTTATCATGTGTAACTTCTGTCTGCTGGTTAACTTTTGTCAAAAAATAAAAACAAAAGAATCTGTCTGATAGGAGTCAGAAGGAAAAAATTAGCAGAAAGGAAAACATTTCTGGTGAGGCAGGACTGGTATTGAAAAAAAAATCACTGATTTTAATTGGCCATAATTTTCATTAAATCTGATTCCATTTTTTATGGTCTTTCATCACCTGACATATGGGAGCCTAATTCTGACTTGAGAGATAGTGTTTCCACTCCCATTTCAGTAAAGCAGTATCTTTGATCATCCTGTCATTTCTGCCCCCGTCAACATGTCACACATGCCTGTATTTGGAGTCTCCACCTGTCAACATCAGATTCCCAGAAGAGGCAGTGGTAGGACTGCAGTGGTAGATGCCAAATAGAGATGTGATTAGCTTTAAAGGGAATGAGACATATTTTTGGCCTATGTCAGTTTATGTTGTACCTCAAGAGTAAGCAGTCATATCAAACCTTGGTAGACAATGTGGGCCACAAGTAATTCACTGTGTTAATTTAATTCTGTCTGTGGCCTAGCAGCTGCTACGGGTCAGATCTCAAATAATCATCATTTGCATCAAGTACAAAGTATATGCATGAAGTATTGTTGGTCTTGACTACATGGTTATATGACATTACATGGTGCATTTCTGATATACTGAACATGTACCCTTTGAAATTAATTTCTCTTTAAGAAAAGTGTACAAAGGGCTGTACAATCGAATCCTTTGTGGTTAGGATCAAGATTAAAAAAAAAAAAAAGCAGCAAGTTTTCAGTTAAATGGAGAAACTCCCTTGAAGAGAAGCTATGCTGGACCCTGAGGTGTCCTTAGAAACAGAGAATTAATAGAAGAATATCTATTAGGGCTAAATGAAATTAAGAATGTTCAGTCTGAAAAAATGTCTGGCATTTATTATCATCATAAATAGTCCAAAAAATGAAATTTCATTATAACATTATTAGAAATTAATTTTACTTGTCCTCTTCATGAAAGAAATACCTACTATGAGTTTGTTTTTAATAAAAAAATAAATGAATTTTGAACTTTTTTATACTCACATTTATGTTTACATTATCTTATATTTCAGCTTAACTTTTTAAATGAAAAAAACTAGTTTATAAAAGTCAAATTCCAAAAGAGCCCTCAAATTAATTATAAAGTTAAAATCAAGTACAAAAGTAGTTTTCCTTTTGTGAATTTCCATTTTAACCAAAATTTAATGGTCAAAATCTTGTTAATAATGTCTAATTTATTCACTGGAAACTTATGTTTATCTATATATTTTTGTCAAAAATTTTACAACAATTAAGTCAATATTTATGAAGATATCTTTGTGACAGTTTGAAGACATTAGATCTGAAAGGATAATAGAGGAGTTAGACATTCCAGTTGGCCATGTAACACTGTGATGGCTGAAAAATGTTCCTAGTTAATGTATGTGAAGTTACTGGCATTTTAAAGAATTCTTTTGTGGCTCTGTAACTATCTTACCTCCATGCAAAATCAGATTTATCCCTTCATCTCTTCATAACAGCCGGCTGAACAGGAGCCAGCAGTGTGCCCAGGGGGCCAAGAAGGCCAATGGCCTCCTGGCTTGTGTCAGCAATAGCGTGGCCAGCAGGGACAGGGAAGGGATCTGACCCCTGTCCTCGGCACTGGTGAGGCCGCCCCTCAATTCCTGTGTTGAGTTTTGGGCCCCTCACTACAAAAAGGACATTGAATGACTCGAGCGTGTCCAGAGAAGGGCAACGAAGCTGGTGCAGGGTCTGGAGCACAGGTCGTACGGGGAGCGGCTGAGGGAACTGGGGGGGTTTAGTCTGGAGAAGAGGAGGCTGAGGGGAGACCTCATCGCCCTCTACAGCTCCCTGAAAGGAGGTTGCAGAGAGCTGGGGATGAGCCTCTTTAACCAAGTAACAAGTGATAGGACAAGAGGTAATGGCCTCAAGTTGCTTCAGGGAATGTTTAGACTTGATGTCAGGAAGCATTTCTTTACAGAAGGGGTTGTTAGGTGTTCGAATAGGCTGCCCAGGGAGGTGGTGGAGTCCCCATCCCTGGAGGTGTTTAAGAGTCGGGTCGACATAGCGCTGAGGGATGATATGGTGTAGTTGGGAACTGTCAGTGTTAGGTTAATGGTTGGTCTGGATGATCTTCAAGGTCTTTTTCAACCTAGACGATTCTGTGATTCTGTGATCTTTAAACCTTGCAATGAATATGGTGGTACTGACTTGCTGACCTCCTCCATTTCTACTGGCAGGCTTTTTGCCTACGGGTATTCTTCTGACAACTAATAATAAAATATAATTGAGTTACTCAAAGCTACAACCCTTTCTTTCTTTCCTTTAAATAACCTATCCTGTTAGCAAACAGTATTCACAAATATAAACTGGAATACTGAAGAAATACATGATTAAATGCCAAAAGCACTACTGATGTTGCACAGATGGTTTAAGTTTCTGTAAGTCAAACATCTGGTCAGTACTTTCGATTGGTAAGTGCATAAAACCTTGATCCTGGCTGATAATGAGGAGTTTCATAGCAACTCAATCTAATGAAAAGGAAAGTAAGCTTATGTTTTCAGGAGAGAGGCCTAATACCTATTAAAAAAAAAGGCAGAGTGGGCATCTGGAAGGTGAGTGATGGAATGGGAGAATTCCAAGGCTTCATGTTGTAATACATTGATTTGTGACATGAGTGTGCAGTACTGAGGAGGTAAGCATGTACAGCTTTGGTCTCATCCCAATCCATAATCATAGGAGGAATTGATTTAAAGATATTCCATGGAGTTCGACAGTTCCAATAAATAAAAAGATTTTAAAATGAGATAACAAAATCCTGGGAGGTTTCATAAGGATTCTTTCTTTATTTCTCCAAAAGTATCTAAAAGTTTGAAACATTCATTATGAATATCCAGAAATCTGTGACATTTAACCTTTACTTCTCTCTAAACAAATGCCGATGGTCCTATTCTGTCTGCTTTTCCAACTGCCTGCTAATTGCTGTTTCTGTGTTGGGAGGGCCCTGCTTAAGCAAGAGTGTCAAATGCCCACTCTGCCTGCTTTATCTAGCAGTCACCTTTTCTGGCAAATCGTTTCTGTGTTCTCCTTGTTCCCACATTGCAACAAAGCTGTGATTTTTAGCTTCAAACTGAACTGCCATGATTCCAGAGCTTTACTCTGTAGTAGTGTTGGTGGTCCCAGGATCTGCAGGAGGCTTTCTTTTCCCTATTAATAAGAGGAAAGACGTTCAAAGATACCACTCCAGGTAAGAGGGAAAAAAAAAAAAAGGCAAAATCTGAGGAAAAGTGAGGAAGCCCTTAGAAAAAGAACTTGAAATACATTCAGTTTCAATTTGACCTGTGAGAAGGCTCCAGAAGCAGTGTTATTTCAGCCCCTTTAGAAAGCACTTTGCTGAGGAGCATTGGAGCACCACTGCTGAGCATAAGCACTAGCTTTCAAAGCAATAAGAAAAACCTGGACATATTAAAAAAATATTGAATTGCAACATTGATGTTGCTGAGCCTAATATTACACATCATAAAGGAGATGGCTATTAAGGGTCGATATGGGATGTTTTAGACTTTCATGAGGTCTGTTCTGTCATCTGTGAGCTCATTATAGAGTGTTGTACAGGAAAGGAGTAGGAGTCCAATCAGAAGGTGCAGACATGTGGGCACGCTCACAAAAAACACTCTATCATATACATACTCTGTCTTTTTCAGTTACTTACAGATTTCACCTAGGCTTAGTAATTTCCTCACTGCTTCACCTGTTTTGCAGTATTCTGGATTTCACACTGAGAGATCCGAGTCTGACCATGAAAGCCAGTGGGGCGGGAGTCCCCTGACTGATACAGCTTCTCCCCAGCTACTGGACCCCGTGGACAGACCGAGCTCCCAGCACCACGATGTCTCCTGTGCCTACAGACAGTACTCAGACCGCAGTGCTCTCTGCTACGGTTTTGCACTCGACCACTCCAGGCTGACTGATGACAGACATTTCCATACTCAGGCCTGTGAAGGAGGCAGATGTGAAGCTGGCCGGTATTTCCTTGGCACACCGCAGCCGGGAAGGGAGAGCTGGTGGGGTTCTCGTTCAGCATTGCCTCTGACCAAGTCATCCCCTGAGAGCAGAGAAGCATATGAAAACAGTATGCCCCACATAACGTCAGTGCACAGGATTCATGGTAAGAGATAACAGGGTTTGCAGAAGTGGCACCATTGCAGATAAAGCAACATGACATAAACATGCAGCTGTTTATGTGAGAGGCAGAAAATGAGAGAGGCTCTTGATGTATGTCTTTGTCTCAGTGACTGCATCTATGGAGATAAGGAATACTTAAAATTCAAGTTAAATTTGACAGTCTGGTTCATATGCAGCAAAATATAATTTTGTTTTATATTTTTTAATTTTGAAATTAAGGTGGAAATATCTGACTGGTGAGATTTTAAGGATGATCAAAACAAAATTATACACTTGATAGAAATGTATTCTTTATTTGACTTAAGATCAAACTACTCTGATGGAATATATTTAGAAAAAAATAGAGCTAAATCCAAGATTGTTCTCCAAATGACTTTTTTTTCTGCACTGGTTATTACTAGATTCTGTAAAATTTGATGTTTATTTTTATTTAAAATTGGCAAGTCAAATTAACATTTGCTTTTGGTTCCAGACATTTATCCCCAGCTATAATTTTTAGCCAATCTGAGTCTCTCCATCCTTTCAGCATCAAGCCTGAAGCATTGCTTGGTGTGTGGCAGGTTGCAAACTCAGTGCATTAGCACATCTTCAGAGGCTGAAGCTAATAAAAAAATCACAGTGAAAGGCTGATCTTTGGTTTGGAAAAATCCGAAGGTCCTCGGGTTTAAAAGGGCAGGCTGAGAGTTGAAAGACTGCAACTGACCCAAAAGTCAGAGTTCAAGGTTGTAAGGATAGATACAGCATAAAAGAAAATGCTTTTCTACTAAAATAATCTGTCAAAACATAGGTTGTATCTAAAGAACTCATAAAAGCTAATTACAGTAGTACCATTCTTGCAGAAGGAGGCTTTGGAAATCAAAAAGAACTGTACTGTTTTACTTCAATCTGAGGGAAATTATATTGAGATTAGAAAAATGATTAAATAGCAAGTTCTAGATAATACAGTCAGAGGAAAAATGAGGAAAGAAAAGGAGCCCTAAATTTTGCTAATGAGGACTGTTCTCCACTTTTCCTGTAACAATACAATTCCTTCCTTGTGTGTGTTTTGTACTTCTGTCATACTTGTGCTTCTCTAGCTTTTTCTTCTCCAGAAGAGCATTGAGCAAAGTATGATAATTTTTTCTGGCAAATGTTATGCATATTTCTTGCTGAGAATAAAAAGATAGTAATGTAGAAATATCACACAGAGGTACAAATACAGAAGTGTTAAATATTATTCCATAACTGTATCAAGGATAATCAATGCAAATGGATAATATAATTTGATTTTAGTTTGTTCCTTGTTCTTGCTGTAGTTCCAGGTGCTGCAGCTATTCTGTTTATTGTATCAAGTCTTAAATATTTCAGTAGCCCTTCAGTCTGCATGTAGTCTTGGAGGTAAAACCTGACATGTTGGTCTTAGTTGAGGAGATAAATATGTCAGCTTCCCTTGCAAATATGCCGTTTTCATTTAGATTCAGGGAGTTTCAAACCTTGGCCTTTCACAAAAGAAACTCTTTTTGACAATACTAAGTAAACATTACTGTCAGAACAGTGTCTTTGGGCAGAAAATATTTTCTTCCTTTTTGTTTGTTTTAATGTATCTTCTGGTAGTTCTAGCTTGGAGTCCCTCTACAATAATGACAATTATCTGATCAGTATGGCATTTTGGGTCCAGATCTTAAGAGGATGTGAAGGATAAATTTATGCCTATGAGGTACTCCACAGTGCACTACTTTCACCAATTAATAGCAGGATATGTTTTTTCTAAAAGCCCATCACTGATTTTTGTGATGAACTCTGCCACACAGTGGTAGTGGTCTGCCACCCAAACAGATCTGTGTACCTTGACCCAACACGGAGCAGAAGAAACTACTTGCGCTAGTCTGAAAATGGGTTTCCTTTGTGGACTCCTGTCAACCAACCCAACAGGCCTCATCCCCAAGAGGACTTTGCATGTGCTGAGGCAAAGGTATTTAAAAGTAATTTGTGCAAGTCCAACGCGTGCCGTCCTGCAAGCAGGTATCTCGGAGATTCATTTATCAAGCCCTTTATTACAGTGTGACCTTAGTTGGCTGTTCAGGTTTGGGGGTCACTCACTTTCTTCCTAGTGAGGATTGACAGGTTTGGTTCTGTCCTTTCAGCTACATGCAAGCTGAACACCTTCTCTGATATGTCTATGGGCCTTATTTTTTAAAGAGAGGTAAGAATATAGTTATATTTTCCCATTCTAAAAGTTTTCTACAACAAATATTTATGCATTGGGATATGACACATTTTTACAGTAACCCTGTCTAACAGCTATGGGTTCTAAAGAAGAACTGCTTCATTATTTGTGTTTATTTATTGTTGTGTAACCTGTGTAAAGTCACTACAGGGCCGAAAACTATTCCACAATGCTGTCTCTGTGTTTTAGCTCCTGGAAGGGTCTAAGAAGACATGCTGGAATGATGTACATTTGTAGTTCCTTGATTTTTTTCACCACAGTACCAATTTACTCGGACTTTACTGATGCAAATAGGTTGTGAGGGGTCTGGGGCCTGAACATCAGTGTTTGACATGCCCTAGGGTTACCTTGCCTGGCCTCTAGCTGTTCCAGAAGACACATTGTTCCTGTAGATTTGGTACCATATCTGCTGGGCCTATGCAGATTCTTGGTTACCCTAGAGCATCTCAGGTGGCACTGGAGGTCTGTGTTGAGGTGCTTAGATCTCTTCTTTTTATATTTTCAGCTGTGTTACTTGTTCTGTGCAGAGACACTGGAAACTAGAGGCTCTCACTGAAAAGCAAGGGGTCTACCATGGTAATTTTCAGTGACTTGTTGCATCACTTGCCTCTGTCTTGGTTTTCTGTCTGTAAAATAAGGTTCAGAGCACGTGTTCTTCAAGATGGCTTGCCTCTTTCATCCTCAATGCTTGTCCCCTTTCTCTCTTTCCTAGGGAGAGGACACTGGGATGAGGACAGTGTTGTTAGTTCACCCGATCCTGGCTCTGCCAGTGAATCAGGCGACCGATACCGTACTGAGCAATATCAGAGCAGTCCGCATGAGCCCAGCAAAATTGAAACTCTAATAAGAGCCACCCAGCAAATGATTAAAGAGGAAGAAAACAGACTACAGCTGAGGAAAACAACCCCTGATCCGCTGGTCTCCATTAATGGCACAGGGAAGAAGCATGCTATCTGTTTTTCAAACTACCCACAGCAGCAGTTGGCAGGGGACGTCTGCCGTGTCCCAACAGTTGCCAACACTCCTCCATGTGAACACATCCAGCAACGAGATGGAAAGATTATGAGCCCACATGAAAATGACTATGACAACAGCCCCACAACACTGTCTAGGATAAGCAGCCCCAATTCTGACCGAATATCAAAATCTAGTTTGGTACTAGCTAAAGACTACCTGCATTCAGACATGTCCCCACATCAAACTCCAGGGGACCACCCAGCAGCCTCTCCAAATTATTACAGCTCCCACAGGCAGTACTTTGATAAGCATGCTTACACATTAACTGGATATGCCCTGGAGCATCTATATGACACTGAAACCATTAGAAACTATTCACTAGGCTGTAATGGATCACACTTTGATGTGACTTCTCACTTAAGGATGCAGCAAGATCCAGCACAAGGACACAAGGGAACATCTGTTATAATAACCAATGGAAGCTGACACTTTTTTCCTAAAAAATTTTGTGCTTAAAAAAATACCCTTTGAGATCTAATTGGAAGATATTATATGTTTTCATGCCCTTGTCGTTACCAGCATTTGATATACCACAGTGCACTACAAAGAATAACCTGAGGTTTGGGGAGATAAGTTAGTTAAAACATATTATTTTTCAAAAATAAAAATGCACTGGCATGCAGGGTTAGAGTGAATGGGGCTAAACTCAGAGCTGGTGCCATGCAAGGTGAGAAGGATGGAAGAGGTCTAGGCAGGGAGTGCTTGGGAAAGGCTAGTAGAGCAATTTACGCACATTGTGTTAAGAGGTGGTTATTCAGAAATACAGCCAAGGGCAGAGCTTCTGAACTGCATGTGCCCCACAGGTCCCAGCCAGCAAAACTGCTATGTGCTCTTTATGCAGAGAGTTGGAATGTGTTCCTCTGAAATACACTTCAAAATGGGTACCTCTGGTGATCTCTTTATTCCCTAACGGCCAGATGTGTTATGCTGCTTCATGGTATAAAGCATCCATGGCTAACCAATACAAAATCAAAATGGGGAGAAAGAAGAGAGAACTTCTCAAATTATTATTTCCTTGTGTACTCATATGCATAGCTATTTACATACGCTTGATTTGAAAGGAGTCAAATGAGCAGTATCCTTAAGATTAGTAAGATCAAATATTTACTTCTACTGTATTTAAAAGAAAGAGGCCTTTCTCAGTGTAGTTTTGAGAAATACATAGGGCTTGGTTGTCTTCATGTAGAGATGGGAGATCGTCCTCATATTTTTGAAAGGTTGCACAAGGTGAGTAGTGGAGTGAAATGGAAGAAAAATGTCAGGAGAAACAGGGAGAATAGGCTGGAATTAGGAGTGGTCCAAGATAAACACATTTAACTCTATGGCTATGTGTGCCATTTAGTATAATTATGAAATAAGGAAAAGCGGTTCTAAGTGGCTGAATAATTAATAATTGAAACACAGAAGAAGCTCAGTAGAATCAGAGAAATTTTGCTGTAAAATACAAAGTAAATTGCATAAGTGTAAAAATATGAGAGGCAAGAATAGACAAAAACTGTATGGACCTACTTCTGATAAAGTTTTGGAGTAAATTAAGAAAGTATAGAAAATTGTAACTACTCTGTCTGACATACAGTAAAGTAATAGGTATGACTTTGAAAAAGATATATGCATTCTTTTCTTGCTTGCAGCAGAAAATTTAATGATATCAGAATATTAAGGATATCAAAATCAGTCATATGTACATTAAAAAATACTGTAGGAAATCAGGGTTCCAAGAAATTAAATTGTCTTAAGAATGCTGATATTATCAGGGCCTGTCCTAGAGTTATAGAAGACATCAAAAGAAGCAGAGAAACTTTCTGCAATTTTTAATAATCTCATGAACAAAGAGATATTAATTGATTGGAAAAGAGTAAATCAAAAACATATGCTAAAAAAAAAAAAGTAAAATGGGGCATTTGTAGGCACAATTGCTAGCCCTGTCCTTCTTTGTACGGCATTTATATGAAGTCTCAAAGTTGACTGCAATGGGAACAGGACCACTGCTCCCTGTCATACCAATGTGAAGGTAAGGTGACTTTAGGTGATTACTAAAATGAGATTAGCACTAAGTCTACCTTTATTTGACATATGGGACTGAGTCATCAATGGGACTAAATATAAACCAGCATGCTATGGGTGGGTTAAAAATATCTATTTTCAAATAAAACTAATCAGAAGCAAAAGCTAAATAATAACATTATAAGCCACGTAAGTAGAGATGTACTTGAAAGCAGAGGAAATTACCTCTCTGAACTTGGAATATTGTGTATAGTCCTGATCACTCCAAGGCAGATTGTGAATCTTGAATTGAGTAGTACCTTACTCCAATAAGCAATCTTTGTTGACTGCAGTGTGATCAATCCTGGTGAAAAGTACATTGAACACAAGGAAGAGCAACACAGTCTGGTCTTTATTATCTGAACCTCATAATAGAAAAGGTGGAGCAGAGCTCAGCAAAAGATAAAGAGACTGAAAGATCTAATAAAACTTTAAATAAACTGGGTCTGTCATCTTTGTAACAGAAAAGAATAAGGGGGAATGTCACTGGTGTGTATGGAGCTGTGCACAGAGGAGAGATAAATAATTGTCTAAAACTATTTGAACTAGCGGCAGAAATGAGAGACAGGGCATTGAATGTTAGCCAAGGCAAAATGAGAACAAAATGATTTGGCAAGAAGTTTATTTGACTAACTGCCAAATGAATAACAAAGATCATAAAGAGAAGCAGCTAGATATTTTTGATTGTTAGTTTGTTTTAAGATAAAAACGAGGCAAATAATTGAGGGGAAGAAAAACACTGACAACTGTTAACTCAGAGGAAGGAATGGACCAAAATGGACTTCTTTCAGCCCAATAATTGTATATATTCCTAAAACATAGGAATGAGAAAGTATTTTTGATAAATCTAGTTCTGGATACTTATTTATTTCACTTATTCCTATGAATAATATGGATAAACTTGTATTTGGAGTCTCATTGTACAGTATTAAAATAAAATTTGCAAAGCGAATTAGAGTAGAGGTACATGGTATCATATTATCCCTACTAGTACACATAAAAATAAGTCTAAACATCAACATTATTTCGTATTACAGAAGAGTTTCCTAAACTGTTTGGGTGAATGGGATTTTGTCAGCACCCAAGTTTCTTGAGATCACCAAGCACTCTTGATATTAAGCTTTTAATCAGAAGACAATAGAGTTCTACAGACCAGTGGCAGTTCCCTGGCTATGGTCTAATGTCCAAGGTCTAATGACTGCAAGTAGTAAGGAAATCACAGTTTGGGCACTGCTGTATTTGCATTCTGACAGGCACTTTTTAAAAATAGAAGTCTTATAACACAAACAGGCACAATATAAGATGCTTGTACTCTACATGATTTCACCTAGGAAAAAAGCCAGTGTGATATGCAATAAAAATTCCCCAATCTTACTTACTGTGACCCCAAAATAAAACTTCCCAAACTGTAGTTATTTATCCTAATTTCAATAGTTCCAGTCCACTTCAATGACAAATGCAGCAAAATGCACTGTAATGAACGGGATATATCAGTAGAGAGGTCTGTACGTGCAGCCACATTGTGCTGCAAGCAGAGGCTGATGCTCCCTCCCCTCATGGGATGCCAGCAACTGGCACTCCTTAGCACTTCAGTACAGTCTGCTGGAGACAGATGCCTTTTGTCAGCTAACTTGCCATCCTGCTTCTTCAGATAGCCAGGAATTTCTTCTTAATTGACAGAAAGCATTGAATGTTGTAAACATAGACTCCGCATGCTACATGCTACATGCAAGCAAGTTTGCAATCTTAATTCTAGTATATAATATCACTGCAGCTCATATTACAGGTACTTTTCAATATGGTATAAAGCTTTTTTTTTTTTTTTCCATTGCATATTTATTTAATTCAAATTTTTATTTAGTGTCCTTCAAGAATATCATCTTCTCTTTGGTTTCTTCCATTTTTAAATCAGATGAGATGAGGTATTCTGCAAAATTGAAAAATGCAAGGCATTTGTACCAAATACATGTCAAATGTATCACATTAGCTGTCACTTTAAATAAGCTGTAGAGGTTGTGTTTTGGAACAGGAACAATATAAATTGTTGTGTTGCATCATTTCTCTAGCATAATACTGTTTTGCTATTAACATCAAATTAATATTTTGTAGCTACTCCAAATACAAAGTGACCACAGTTCTTTCAAACAATTTCTCATTGATATCGGTGGATGGTGCATTATGATTTTTTTTGTGCATTATGATTTTGATATATCTTCTCTTTTGCTTAAAGAAGCAAAAACCTCCTCTCTTCTTTATACAAAATTGTTCCCCGTGGGCATGGAGTTTGTAATTTTGGACAAATTCACAAAACAATTCTTAAATTAGAAGAAGAACCTTACTCAGCAATTTGTCCCATTGAATCAAATGGGAATATTTGTGGAGCAAGGTACTACTTAGTATATATAAGGGCAAAAAAGCTGACTTGTGAAGTGGCAATAGGTTTGGGGGTTTTTGTGATTTTTTTTTTAATCTCAAGATGTATGGAAAATATGGGAGGTAATGGCTGTAATGGCTGTGTTTCTATTTACACGTTTTGAAAAAAGGAGTGCATCTCTCTGTACTGAAGAGCCCCAGAAGTATTTCTTAAGCTTTAAATGACTTTTGTTGATGTGTCCGCAATACTGCCACAGGTTACACAGTGAAATTCTGCTCTTTTAAACTCTTTTAATCACTCCTATCTAAATTCTGTTTTTATCTCCAGACATGCAGCATTTATTCATTAATGTCCCTAAGTATGTTAACCACCATATGTTCATTTATGTGAACATTCCAAGTGAGTTGAAAAAAAAAAAAAAAAAAGTCGCATAGTATTTCTGGAAAAGGCACAGCTACCCCAGAAAATCAGGCTGGCCCTTCCAAATGTCAGTTAACCTTTCAGCCAAGGAACAAAGCTGTGCCATATGCATTGGTTTCAGACCTTCTGCATACAAAGTTGTATATAATGGGGATTATAGCACACAGTCCCAGGATTAGACCTAGCTATGTCTATTTTAGGGTGGCTATAGTTAATGTCTGGCAGCAAATAAATTCAGGCTCTGGTCTTTCTATGAATTGCAAGTTTACTTAAAACACCTAAGGGTCTAAAGGCAATACAGGCTTTGTTATTAGGAACAATGGTGGATGAACATGCTTTCCGGTAGGTATACTGGATTAACTCCAGGCACCTCCACATTAGAAGAACCTATTTTATTTCATTTGCAGTTAGTATTGACAGTTAAATATTTCAGTTGTATGCACTGAGAAGTAAAAAACCCACCAAAACCAACAACAGAAAAAAACAAACCAGGAAAACCCTACACATTTTTTCTATAATCCTTCAATTTGGGTTAGTAAACCCTGCTAGAGGTGTAGCTGAGGGTTTAGCTGTTATTCTGAAGACCAAA